TATGTATTGGTGTTGTGTTTGTAGTCGGAGAGGAAACTGGTATCACACTATTGTGTTGGAAGTATCTATGAACAACTTGAAATTCATTTTGTGAAGACTTCGTCAATTTTAACACTCACTTACTTTGAAGTGTGTGAACGATCTCTCCTGCATATATTTTGGGTAGTAGTGATAGTAATTACCGCTACCGAGAATTGAACCTGGCTCTTCCCCTTCGGTGTAGCAACATCCTCCCCGTTCCGCTAGTGTTTTAATTTGAGACTATGTGAGATACCTCATCATATATGGCCTCTACTGTATAACCCTAAAGATATGAAATATTATAATTAACTAAATATGCAATACATCAACTTTGCTCGCTCACTAGTTTGGCCTAACCACTCTACCATATTACTGTAGAATGTTTCTTGTCCAATATCATTAAGTATTTTAGTTGGTAGTCGTGGGAAGTGGTGGGAAAGTGTGAGGCGTCGCTACAGAACTTGTGATATCCGAAAGACTCAACCTCAGAGTTTTGTTAAGAAACTCTCCGTAAAACGCGACGTTGAATGCTACGCTCCGCATTAGTAGCAGTGAAGTTAGGGAATTCTCTAATCTGCCTCAGGGAGTCAACTCAGTGCTTTCTGGGCCAGAGACTAGTGTCGTCATGCTGCAATCTACTGATTGCGTTGGCGGTCGAGTTTGTGAAGCGTGGGAAGACTTCTATTTGTCTCCATCTAGACCCCGGCCATTATTCCCACAATGAAAGGAATGCCGATCGTGAATCTCTCCCTGATCAGCTGTAGTCTCTAAGCAGGAATAACAAAATTCAACACTCGAACAAACACAAGAGCGGCCTTATCACAATGCAAATCTCCACATCACAACAACAACAACAATGATCGTTATAAACGCATAGCATGTCGGCATATAATCTTGTAAATCGAAAACGAAGTAAAATGAGAAGTTGATAAAGTTGTAATTCATTATTCGGTCCTCAGTAGCTTCCAAGGATTCGTCCGAGCGTGGGGAATACAACTACCCCATCCAACTTCACAACGCCACAGTCAACTCACTGTTTCGTCCAGCTGTTTGATAGCCGATTCAGAGACATTATGATACTCATCGCACAGAGCTGTAAAGCTCGCACCGAATTTATCCTTGAATGTCCGAATCGCGTGATTGCATTGATTTTTAAAATTATCTACTTTTCTTCTACAAGGGAAACCACATTTAATATAACTAATAGGGCGAAATTGAACGCTTCTTAGAGGATCCATACAAGTATCCTCGGAACTCAGTTGAGGGATGTTGTGATACTTCAAGCTGTTTACAATGTCAGGACTATACCCCTTGGGAGTAAGCGACCGTGAGTATCTGAATTGCAGACGTCAACAACGGTATTGGCCTCGTCAACTAATAAGTATCCTACGATGTTTCGAATGCCGGATACTGGTCTGTCTTGGGACAAGTAATCGTCTCTGTTTGGATGACGTCGCCGACGATGTAGAAGTCTAATGCTGCCGAGTCATCTTC